TTCAAGTTTATCTAAAAATTTACTACGTTTAATAGATGAGATAATCTATCCGAGCTTCCGAAAAAAGTATTGTAAAATGTATAAAAAATTTTCTTTAATAATTGTGTAACAATCGGATCGTCATTTCCATATTTGGGACGTTCTCTCCTGTTACTGTACCATACAACAAGAGCCATATTTAGAATAAGCGTTATGTGGATGTTCGGTCAACATTAAAAATGACCATAAATGTGCACTATTTTATTCATATGTATTACATATTGAAAATTCAAACTAATGAAAATTTATTGAAAAAAAGTACAGCATCGATATATTCATATCACATAATTTATCGCTCTCATGGGTCCGACTTTGAAGAAATATATATGAAACCTGGATATTTTTGCGTGACCAATATTGTCAGTGTCTATAACGATATGTCAATTTTAAAAGTACGTATTTTGTGTCACCTTCCTGCAGAACTATTTCTCACGATCGATTTTTATTAATAAGTAGCGCTAATAATGAATAGCTGGAACCTTTCTTACTTTATATATGATCCCGCGATAAGAATGAGACTTAAAAAGGCTATAAGGGCAGTGAGTATAACGTTCTTTATCAGTGGTTTGATCAAAATTCATATATTGTATGAACTTGAGATCTCCGCCATCTCGAGATCGTCAGATCTAAATCCACCTTAAGCGATCATCGAATCTAAGGGGGTTTAATTTCACCTAAAAAATAATAAAATACATTCAGCATTTGGAACTTATGACCGAATAGACTTGCTTTACATGGTGTGATCTAGATTGCGTTACCTTAACCGAATTACTAATCATACAACTTTTTTTCTGGCAAGTTTTTTATTGCGAAGCAATGACCCAAAGGGTCTAGATCTAGCGAATGGACGGTATGAAAATGAGCGGTTTTTATCTCTTGTAGGGTGGGTTATAATATTTTTTGCTCGTATATAATCTTTTTTTACCCGACCATAATTATTTTTTAAAGTAATGTGTTATCTTATTTAACCGTGACTATAAAAACATTTTTACTTACTATGATTTTTTGCATTTAGGTACGAAAAATGAGCAGTAACGACACCACCACCACCCCTACGACTAATGATACTACCACCATCATCACGACTAATGCTAATGATACTACCACTAATAACCCAACCCCATCTAAACCAAAGCCTACAGAAACTATTATAACTAGTAAGAAAACTTTTTATCTTTTAGTTTTACCAACTTTACTAAAGCGATCTTTTTCAGAATTAAGTTCTTTATTTAACATTAGGAAAGCATAAAGAAATACGAAATGATGGAACAAGGACAATCGATACTGTAACTTGGAAAACAAAATCTAATGATGGTTCATTAGATTACAAAAATTTCTAAACAAAAAATAATATTTTTTTTATTTATATATTGTAACGGCAATATATATTTTTTTATTAAATAAAGAAGAGGGTCTGCTGGCCTCGCCATTTTTATTTTTACACGATTGTGTAAATTGGTAATAAATTTAAAGGAGGTATAGCCGTGAAAAAGTATATAAATATATATCAATAAAGATGTTTACTCGAATTGGAATTTAAATTTGTGGACATCGAAGTCCAGTTTTATTTTGGAAAAAATAATATCGATATAAATTACTATGGGCCATTAAAATTACTCTTATAATAGAGACGACAAGTTTTTTTCTCACCATGGCCACAATATCATTTTTATACCCTTTTTGGACAATTAAAATAGTCATATTCATTCTGTGTTTAAAGATAATCAGTCCGGATACAGACTAAAATGATGTCAGGTCAGTAGGGGTTACAGATGGCATATTTTTGTGCAATTGTGACGTAATTTCACTTCAGACATATTTAACTGATCAAATAAATTTATGAAATTAATCAACTCATGTCTGCTTCTAACAGCAAAAAGAAAGGTAAACGCCATAACGGCATTTGAATATTCAAACTATACCGTTTTTAAGTTATTAACTTTGTTACAGGAGGAAAGAGTGTATTTAAGATACCCAAGTTTTTGAAAAATATTAAAAAGAAGAAAGAGGTTCGGTTCTGCCATAAACATTCTAGAGTTATTAAATCGAATTTATTTTCAATAAACACTTAATTATATAACGTCCATTCAGCCAGAAGTACCGAATCCTTCTGTCCCCGAAATATCCAATCTACCTGAGATGGTTGATTCCCTTCGTATTCAGCCTGAAGTACCGAATCCTTCTGTGCCCGAAATATCCAATCCACCTGAGACGGTTGATTCCCTTCATAAGTATGAAACAAGGCCTGGGCAAGCCCAGAAGTTTCTAGGTAAGGCTGAAATTTTCAGAATGATTACAATCAATACAATGGCAGTGCTTTAATATAATGCCTTTTGTAGATCGTGTGGGGCCAGACTTCAGGTGGCCCCAATCAATGAATGATCTTGATAGAGGAACAGCTTTTTTTTATATAGCAGATGACGGTGCTTTAGAATATGATGATGAAGCAGGGCTTAATCTTATCTGTTTCTTTGTAAACTTAGATAAGGGAACATTTAATGAACATAAAGACAGCTGGGCGTTGATATATAATCAAGAAGTTAAGAGATATGGACCAGAATATACAGGCAAGGAGTTAAATGATCTTGAACATGAAATGCCAGGTGCAATATACTTACCGATAGATAAAAACCGACGTGAAGATCTTGTGAAGGTAGCACCGGCAAGAACAGTAAATGCACAAAGGGCTGGAAGTGAACATATGGTCTGAAATTTGATGCAGTTCAATTAATGTAAATATGTATTTATCTTTCATTTATGTTTCTAATAAAGGTTAAAATCCAAGTTAGAAAATTAGGAAAAACAGATTCTGTTATACTTGATTGTAATTTTCGTGATCCCGATGAAAATAAACTGTATAAATCTGTTATCGATTCGGGTGCACCAGAAACTATTCTTCCCTATCGTATCCGTAGAGTACTTGGAAATGATGGATGGTTAAGAGTACGTGGTTATGCTACAGGTTATGGTGCACCCTCTCGTGTTTTTATTGCATCAATGCCGTTTGAAGTGGCGATTGGAGACGATAATAACTGGAGCAAATGGGTGAGGACAGATACACTTAGAATTTGGCAACGGAATCCTGGTGACCATATAGATAGCTCCCTTGTTGGATGTGATGTATTGGATCAATTTTTCTTTATACACCAGCCAAACCAAGGATATAAGTTTCTAAGGACTACAGATGAAGCTTCTTTAACCGATTTCATTAACAGTCTTCCCTAATATTGTTAGATTTAATATACTGCGATTTATTATTTTCATTAATAATCTTTCCCAATATTCTTAGACTTAATAGAATTGGCAATTTGTTACTTTGTACTGTATATTAATGCTCAAATTTCAATATTGCATTTTTATATAAACTGCATGATATCAGCTTCTGTTTTAGCATAAATTCAATATATTTTTATTTTACTGTACTAATAATAAAAAAATATATTCACATTGTTTCAATGATCACGAAACCCACCTTCCAATCTACCCATTATTACTGTAATTGCCTCCGGCAAAAAAAAATGTGCTAGGAAGAACGAGGTAGACAAAATATATTAGGCAAAAGAGGCTCTCCAGAAGGTATTAATTAATTGTACACGTCTGTATCCTTATAATTGCTAACAATTAATTAGAAAATCAGAGTATCGTATAAATTCTCGCGAAGCATACTACTATTAGATATTTTTTTCGGTAATCCTCTATTCGCTTTTTTCTACTTTGATAAATTTCTAATTCGAGTCAACACGTTCTTCGTATTACAACCCATTACAGTATTTTAGCCGAACCCAGTCACTGTTAAATTTTTGATATAATAGTAAGCAAAATTCGCTAAGGTGTAATAAAAAAATAATTATAAACTTGATTAGCTAAATATGAAAATTTTGACTCGAAGCTTGGCACTTTTTTATATGCAGTATTGTTAATGAAGTTCGTAATGTGTGAATGCCTGTGATTGGTCACTGAATGAAAAAAGTAATTATCAATTTTAATTGGTTAAACAAATGATTAAAAGTAGAAATTCAGATCCTATGTATTTTTACGCTGAAATGTAATCATATATTAAAGTTAACAAATGAAGTAACAAAAAAATTATATATGAGTTATATATTAAACACATAGATATTAAGTTTTATAAATTATATATTGATTATAGGTCAAAATTTTTAAACGCTTGATTAACGAATCTCAATTTTTTGTATCCTTTCCGGAATAACCATTTCTGGTTTTTCATCATACCATATCTCAAGTAAGAAAATTCCGTTATCTTGACATATACATCTTTTTTTCCGATCACGGTTAACAATATCCTCGAGCTTTTTGACATCTTTATACCAACCAGTGTTATGAAACCGGTGCTGACTTTCTTGCACCTCCAATGCGATTCGATATTTTTGAAAGAAGGCATCAAGTTCCAATCCGTTCAAGAAAGGAGGACAATATTCAATTATTGGTTTTTCGTTAAGAATTTCCTCAGCTATTTGAATGCATTTAGCTTGGAATTTACGATTTTTCTTGCCAAAGGCGGTCACAAGGTGGCTATATTCTGATTTCTTCGCAAATTCCTCTATAATTGGTCTTAATATTGCATTCCTTGATTCAAGCTCAAGAATTGTAGCCTTAATATGCTCGAGAACTGGATACTGCAAACCAATTTTTAATTTTGCTATATCAGCCTCATTTTTAGCATATTTCTCTATAATTCGTTTTAAAAGTTTGGCATTCTCGGTCTTAAACTTTGCAGTCTCAGCCTTAAGTTTTGCATATTCTCCATACTTAGTCTCAAGCTTGGCTTTCTCAGCCTTAAGTTCTGCAATCTTGGCCTTAAGCTCAGCTAGTGTGGTTTCCTTTTGATAAATCTAATTCGGATCGCATTTTTAGTATAAAAGACGATTTATTTAATTTCGACCTAACTAGCATACATAATCATGTGATGAAATTTCGTTCAAATTTGCCAAGAAAAAATTTGATCATATATGCGTGACATTGATTCAATACATCCCAAAATACGCATGCAAAAGTAAACTGATTATGTATGCACTGAAATCGGCCACCAGGGTCAGCTTTATTGATACGATAAGAAAAGTAAAAAAAAATATACAATATTATTATGTTCTAAAAAAATGCATTATTTTTTTTTAAATTTCCAGTTTCTATGGGAAGGGTTTATCTCCCTAGATCTTTTTTGAATTGACAATACCTTGCGCATTTACGATCATTCCATTCTAAAAATTAAGTATTAGTATCAATAATTTTGTTATATAAATATTTATAGACAATAAATACTTACTTGTAAAATCAATAAAGCATGTACAAATTCCTCTACTTCATTGACTGATTCGTCTTCAAAAGGTATTTTTGCCCGCGAAATGGGAAGGTAATATTTGATTCCTTCTTCGCGTATCAACCCATGTATTTCTATATACTTAACTGCAATATTAACACTAAATCCTATATAATTTTTATTAAGAGATCCTTTTTTACAAATTTTAAAAAGCTCTTCTGTTCCATCTAAACAGAATTGCACTAATTTGTTATGATCAGCTCTAATTTTTTCATCATCACAGTTCCACTTTCCACTCTCAAGATACACAATTTCTTCCCATTTTTTGTGGACAAACATACGAATCATAAGGTCCGGTTTATTTCCTCTTGACTCTTTTTGTTGTTGAACCTTCTAATTTTTACTAGCTATGCTTTGACACTCGGCCCTTGTAGCCTCAATTTCATAGCTTATAGGCAGGCGACACATAGTGGTGTCTATTAGTCGTGCTATAATTTCTACAAGAGAATTTTCTGAGCCATGAGAAACCTTACGAAGCGCATTTAGTTTTATTTCTTGTAGAAGTACGTCGATAATATCTCTTACTACATGTACTTTATTATATTCTTCTTCAATTCACTGGTTATGTGTTAGAATTTCTGATTGTGATAATACAAATTTGCAAAACTGACTAAGTTCATTTCTTCTTACTACAAAATCGGTACATAATTTTTTAATTCCAGCACTTTTGGTTAAGTCTCTTATATCGGCCTTTTTTCCCTAGTAAAATTATTTTAATAAAAACAGTTAACACATTTTTATTAATTATTGGAGTTGATTTTTATTTCATACCACAAGATCTTTATAGTTATTTTCTGAGAGTTGGTATCTATATAAACTAAAGTCAATTACCCCAACACATAATGGATTGTTTTGTAACAAATCATTAACTTTTACTCTACAAAGTTTCGCATAAATATGATTATGGGATTGCATCCTTCCATTCTCGAACGCGCTTTTCAAAATAGCTATGTTGTTAGATGCCTCATTTTTCCAGTCTTTATATTCTTTAAAATCTCCTTTCAATTCACCCGCATCTATCAACGATATAAGTTCATCACAGGTATAATTGATCTAAAAAAAATAGAGTGGTTTAATATAGTTAGTATAGTTACAGAACATCATTCTTGTGCAAGTCAGACTCGCCTAATCAGTTTGCCAGCATTTTACTGTCCATAAATAGCATTATAAGTATAATGAAAAAGAACCCTTGTTAGTGTATAACTTAATTCGATCACATTATACTTATTAATTGGTGACAGACTACATTTATCATTTTTATAAATAATATTGAAATGTTATTTTACTTACTCTATTAACGTCTTGTAATTCTATAATATGTTGTTTACGCTCTTTATTCTTAATATTTTTTTTGAATTTAAGCGATCCTGCTTCTATTTATTTTATGAACTACTATATGATTAATTACATAAGTAACCACCAACATAGTGTAATGCTCTAT